TTAATCCCAGCATCCAGAAGCTAGGAGGTGGTGGTACACACCTTTAATCCTAGGACTCAGGATTAAGAAGTAGACAGAGCTCTGTGAGCCAAGGCCACTCAGATTTACACAATAGTGAATCAGTCTAAAAGAGAATTATAGCTCACACCTTTAATCCAAGCATTAGGAAAGTATATAAGACAGATGCAAGGTCTCAGAGAGGCATTCATTCTCCAGCCACGCTGAGGAGAGGTTACAGTCTGAGGCTTGGTGAGAGCTTGTGGAGACAGGAGCAGTCCATGCAGCCTGAGGTAGAGGTAAGAAGTTAGTTGCCAGCTGCTTTGCTTTTCTGATATTCAGTTTGAAGTTTGAACCCCAATACCAGTCTCTGGGTCATTTATTCATTCATGTTACAAAAGTTATATGAGACACCAATGCTCTACACATTCTGAGTCTATCTGAGACCACTCTGTAGCACATTCTAGGTATTTGTTTTCTAAATTGACAAGAAGACTAATTGTCACCTGCCACTGGCCCTGTCCTTGTATGTAAGGGTCATATTAACTCACTCATAGGTCACTGTTGGATCACTCATGGGTCAGCTTAGCTACATATTTCTCAACTCATTCACAGGATTATTCCTGTGCTAACTGATTTGATTAAAGGGGAGATTGTCTTTTTTTTTAATTCCACATGACTCAGAAATTCAAAGATTACACTTAAAACTTACATTTTCACCTTTTTCTTATTTCAATTTGTATCTCCCCTCGGAGTAGGTACTATAAAGGCTGAAATCTTTTAGTAGCCACATATTGCTACAATCGTTTGATGCTACTATGACATAATCACTGAGACTATATAATTGATAAAAAACAGATTTCTTTATAGATCTAGAGATTGGGGTTTCCAGCATCAAGATACAGTGAAGGTTCTGTTGGCCTGTCAATGCCCCAGTGCCCTTCCAGGATGGTACTTCATTCGTGTATTATCACACAGTGGCATGCTGCATGACACTTCCTTGTGACCTTATCTCTTCAAGGCCCCACCTCTTAGTACTGATCACATTGGCTACACCTGAGTTTTGGAGGGGAGACAGTTAATAAATAATAAAGTATGTCTAAGATAAAAAGGGCTAATATGGAAAGCCACTTTGAAGGAAATCAGTCAGTAAGCTAATTTGACAAGTGTGCTTGGTTTTGTGTGTGTGTGTGTGTGTGTGTGTGTGTGTGTGTGTGTGTGCTTGCTTGATTCTTTGTGTGAAATGTGTTTATGATAGGTCACATATAGGGGTTCCACCTCATCTGTAGTATATTATTTTGCCTGTGCCGATTTTGAGAAGTGAGTTCAAATCGTCTTATGTCCCACATTGAACACTTAGCTGGCTCCACAGGTCACTAAACATTCTGGTATTTCAACTCATTGTTGGGATGAGGGTAACTCTTGGTATTTTGCCTTAAAAGATTATTGAAAGTTCTGCTGCATCAACATGTATGAAAGTTTCTGGTGGCTTCAAGGCACTATAATAATGTAAGGGACACTTGTTGATGTCCTCAGCAGATCACGTTACAAGGCATTGACACATACTGCCTGCAAAGACGCAGTGTTCGGCTTGTCCTGGAATAACCAGAATAAACTAGAATATTTCTACCACAAAATCTAAAAGTAACTGGCAGATTTAGACTTTGAATGGATCTAACGGTAATGGAGATTTTCATGACAGAAACCAGGGAATAAGCTCAACCATACCTTAAAAGTAAATGTTCCCATAGTGGTTGCTACTATACTTCTTAGTGTCATGTTTTCTGTTAATGCTAAAGAGGATGGCTTCAGAATTAGAAGTGGGCTACACAGGACCTGTATGTAGAAATTAACTTGAGAAGAAACTTGCAGTGGCTAATATTTTTATTAAATGTGTTCTGTGTTTCATGAAAATTTTATCGGGTCTCAGGTGTTTAGGGATGTATAGTTTCAGGGTTAGGAGGTGGGTGGAATCTAGAGCTTAACCACCTAGACACGGATTGAAATTTCAGTACTCAGGCAATCTGTCTACACCACTTTTTCTTCAGTATAATGACAGAGCTATACATCTGGCAGAGGATTAGTATCTAGAATATAGCCATCTCTAGAAGCTAAATAGTAAGAAATCAAATGACACAATCAATAAATAGGCTAATGCAATGAGCATTAAACAGAAACATGCAATAAATGTGAAAAATGTTCAGCTTCACGAGTCCTCATGGAAATTCGAATTAAAACTCCATTGAGATTCCATTTTGCCTCCATCGCAATGGTAGACATTAAGAAAACATATAACCATGAGTTCTAGAGATGTGAACAAGGAAACGTCATACGGTGCTACTGAAAATGTAATCCAGTTCAGCCATTTTGAAAATGAGTACCACAGTTTCTCAGATGTAAATATGTCTACCATATGATGCAGCTCTCCCACTTGTGAATTCAAAAACTGTGCATATCATAGAGACACCTACATATTGATGGTTAGAGTAGTGCCATTCCCTGTTTACCTCCAGAGCTGTAAGGCAACATATCACATGCATATAGATGGATATGCTAGAATTGTTCACAATAGTGAATTTATGTAAGGAACCTAGGTGTCTGTCAATAGAGGAGGAATGAAGTTGGATCTGGAAAGATGACTCTGGGATTAAGAGCAATGACTGCTCTTCCAAACGACCCAGGTGTGATTTCCAACACCCACATGGTGACTCAAAACTGCCTGTGATTCCAGTTCCAGAGGATCCACCATCTTCTGGTCTCATCAGACACCAGGCACACCACAAGGTGCACAGACATCCATGCAGACTAATCACCTGCATACATTAAAAAATAAATGGATAATGAATTAAAAAACAAATAAAATTTGAGCAATGACTATCAATAGAAATGCTAATGCAAAGAGGTAAAGAATCTCACTCTCAAAGGCCCCACCACCACACAAGGGACTGTAGGCAACTAATGAATGCTGAGAGTGGGGGGAACCAACCAACGTCTCCTAGGATTGGACCCTGATTGGTTATCATCCCTGAAACCACATATACACATGCAAAAATGGACACAAGACGGTGTTTGAGAGTGGGCTGGGCATGGAAGGCTCTGGAGGCAGGAAAGGGATGGAGAAGGGGGTAATTATAGTTTAATTAAAATGTAAAAATGAATTAATTAATGTTTTTAAAAATGAAATAGAAAGCAGGCTGTGAGGAGCAAGACAGTAAGCAGCATTCCAACATGGCCTGTGTTTTACAAAAAACAAAACCAACAACAACAAAAAACCCAGAAGAATAAAGTAATGTCATTTGGAGGAAAATAGAAAATCAGTACAACTGGAGATAATTTTATCAAGTTAAATAATTCTCAAAAAGACAGATATTTCATGTTTTTTCCTTACTTGTGGGTCCTATATTTTACATATATGTATATTTATATATGCATAATCATAAACACAGCAAAATAGAAATAAAACTGTCTAGCTTGGCTGTCTTTGGGTTACTGTTGCTTTGATAAAATACATGACCAAAAGTAACTTGGGGAGGAAAGGGTTTATTCAGCTTACACTTCCGCATCACACTTCATCACTGAAGGAAGTCAGGACAGGATCTCACGTAGGGCAGGAACCTGGAGGTTCCTGGTGCAGAGACCATGGAGGGGTACTGTTTACTGACTTGTTCCTCATAGCTTTCTCAGCCTGATTTCTTATAGAACCCAGAACCACAGCCCAAGGGTGGCACCACCCACAGTGGGATGGGCCCTCCCCCATCAATCACTAATTAACAAAACGCTCCACTGCAGCATGTTTTTATGAAGGAATTTCTCTATCGAGGTCCCTTCCTTTCATACTATGACTTGTGACAAGTTGCCCAATAGCAAAGGGACTAACAAGAGGAGGGAAGGGCCAGAAAAGAAAGGGTAACAGAGTGTAAGGCCAAAGTCCTTAAACACTTTCTAGAAAATGCCCTTTGTAAGCAGTGATTATTAGGAAAGTATTGTTAAATAGAATTCTGTTTGCTAGTTATAAAGTAAACATGAACTCCAAGCATGAAAATGATTCTGAAAGCTCATAACCTGTACTTACTTAACCTGTTGGTTTTCCAAGTCCGTCACTCTCTACCACAGGTTTCAGAACAATGAGGAAGCCCTTGTAGTGTCCCCGGAGAAAGAGACCTGATTTACATAGTTTCATCAACATTAAGGAAGACACTACACATGGGAAAGAGGAGAGTGCACAGGACCCAAAGCTGGCCACAGGCAGTAATAATACATAAAAATCTTTTGGTATGTGTGTAGGCTCTCTGGTCCTCTGCCCTTCATTTGATTTGCTAAGCATTACTTAGAAGCTCTGTGTGCTGGCCCCTGTCAGAGATCTTGCTTCCTGTTGCCTAGTCAACTGTGTTTCCTTCATGCCCTGATGCCTTGAAGCCTGTCAACATTCCTCTGGCCTTACCTTTTAAAGCACTGAGGATTTTGTCTAAAAGATGGCCGTTAAGGTCATGTGTGCTTTTGCTGATGTCTAGAAGTTCCACTAGGGGCAAGGATACCCTCTGCTTGAATTGCTCGCCTTGCATTCTGAAAAGCCTCTCCAAGGAACAGTTTGTACATTTCTGTTCATGTAAAGGGGGAACTTTGGGGCACCTTTTCTCTGTTGCTGGTTTGTAGAGCTATTTTTAACTTCCGTTCTTTGCTGTATTTTTTCTGTGCCTGTGAATTGTAAGGTGCCAGACTGGCTGCCCTTGGAGCTGGTGTCCCTAATTTATCCCAAGAACAGGAAAAATACAGGGGGTAGCAGAACTGGTCATGTCTGGGTCCAGCACATTAGCCTGACCTACTCTGGAAGAATATTCCCCAGACATAAAGAGGGAATTGTTTCTGGGAATGCAGACCATCTGCTTTTGTGGCGAGCAGACAGAACCTTGTGCCATCACCAGGCAATACAGTGTTTTGCATCCAGGAAGCAATAGACATTCATCCTTTCTTTGGGAAAAAAAAACTGCAGTATTTTTCTGCCTTCCACCTCTACCTGTTAACATTCCGTTCTTTAAGGTCAAATTCAATTACCTATTTCCTCAGGAAACTCTTACGGAGCATTCTGTGATGCAATTTCCCTTGCATATTTCTATAGCACTTTTTCTTGCAGCATGCAGCACATGTTGTCATGGCCTGTTGGACATAGGACATTTCATAATCACTGTAGGAAGCACTGATGGGAACAAGTCCACTTCTTTGTGTCACACAAAAGCAGACTATAATACTGGACAAAGAGCAGACCCTTGGAGTGTCTGCTAAGTAGATTGGAAACCAAAACTTTCTTTCTGAAGCAGGCTTTTCCTGTAAGCTAGTGATTAAAGTTGTTCCAGACCCAGAGTAGCTGTCCAGCTCTGCAGATACCTTATAGGCTCAGGCTCTTTATTCTGCGTACTGTATTTTGAGCATTCATGGTCAAGGCCCATACAGCTACTTCTGCTGCCAAACCAGCCACCATAGCCTATTACATGATCCCATCCTTATTTTGGCAAACTATGTTTCTTAGATCCTATATACATCTCAGCATCCTATTTGACTTATAGAAAGGGAAAAATTAATACAGAAAAATGAGTGTATTGACTTATTTAATTTATGTTCTTAATAATTTCACATGGATTGATCTATTTGCCCCACCCTCAATGTGTTTTCTATAAGGAAATGTCATTTGTTGGCATGAAATTCTTTTTTTTTTTTTTTTTTTGGTTTTACGAGATAGGGTTTCTCTGTATTGTTTTGGAGGCTGTGGGTCCAGCCCGGCCTCGAACTCACAGAGATCCGCCTGCCTCAGCCTCCCGAGTGCTGGGATTAAAGGCGTGCACCACCACCGCCCGGTGGCATGAAATTCTTAAAGGTATAGCATCAATATTCAAACAGAGCATACTTAGTTTTGTAGTTAACCAGTAAAGTTTGGAGAAGGGGTATTGTTGTTTTCAGCATAATCACAAAAGTAGTGCCAAATGAAAAAATTTCTTAGTATAAATAGAAAAAGCACATGGGTTTAAAGAATCATTTCTAATTCTATGTCTAGTGCTAAGACATAAGTGTAAGGTAACTCTTAAATAGAAGTTTATTAAAAGCAACTACAAGCCATATTACAAATATCATAATTGTAATATAAAAGCTACAACACTGAAATGTCACAATTACATACCTGTAGCAGAGGCAGCTCATTTTGTGGGGGTGGGTTTCAGGACAGGGTTTCTCTGTGCCTTTGGAGGCTGTCCTGGAACTAGCTCTTGTAGACCAGACTGGTCTCGAACTCACAGAGATCTGCCTGCCTCTGCTTCCCGATTGCTGGAATTAAAGGTGTGCACCACCACTGCCCAGCAGCAGTCCATTTTTTAAAACTTGAACTCCTCCCAATGTTTGATTGATGATACTTCAAGTTTGTTTGTTTGTTTGTTTGTTTTTTTAAAGAAGTGCTTCAATCCTGCAACAGAATACAAAGGAATACTTCCAGGACCAAATGCAACCAGAGAGAAATATATTTACCTCTTCTTGCTGAAACATTTACCCCTCCCAGTTTTGAGTGTGAAGTGGCTGTCAGTCCAATGTGACGGGGTGTTGAAAGCTGCCTTCAGTGCGAAGTCACTCCATAATGCTCCATGACACCAGTTATGCACTGATATTCGTACAGAGCTCAGAACAGGCAATGCAGTCGTGGGATTGCAGTAGACACTCCTCAAGCAAGGCTGCCTGAGCATGAAATTAGTTAAACATTTTCTGAACTTTCCCCATCTTTAGAGTAAGAATGTTACTGTGTCCACATAGAGTGTCATGAATAGGAAATGAGTTGATACTATAGCTCCAAGAAAATGTCAGCCATCCACGAAGCTAGGTCTATGATTTTTGTGCAGAAGCCTGCAGGTACTTGTCAATATTCCTAGTTGCCTATGGCTACCTAATTGGGTCTTGTTTCTGCCTAGTAGACATGAGCTGAAAGGAGTGAAGGTGGCTGTGGCCCTCGAAATCCCAGGGTATTGAGATACAGAGCCTCTTGCTCAAAGTAATCCCACCTACCCCCTTCTTTATTTTTCTTCCTTGTGGTCTTGTTGTTTGAACTCATGGTCCTAGTGGATATTATGCAAATTCTCCATCACTGAACTACACCTAGTCCTAAAAATTTTTATCCTAAACTATATTCTATGACCGTTTAAAACTAAGTATGTGCTTTAAAATATAACCTGATAGACATATGTGTGTGACAGCTGTCTCAGTCAGTTTAAGAATGCTGTGGCTTTATAGAACACTAGGCAGACAATAAAATCTAGGGCTTCAAGGAATTCCCAATCCTATATTAAGTGGAAACATTAAGTGATGTTCAAACTAAGACCTAGAGGCGATTCTGACCAAACTCTAGTATCATAGATGAGACATGAGGGAATGAGATGAGACTTACTTCATGAGCTCCAGAAGTCAGAACTAGAATCATGGGGAGCAGTCAGTGTGGGGCTACATTAGTGACTCCACAGAAGAAAACCTAGCAGTCTCAGTGCTCTAGAGCTAGAGGTGAATACCTACCTTGTAATCTGCCCATCACTACAGAAGATTGACAACCAGGACTTGAAAAAGGAAATGAAGCGCACACACAAACTGATGGACAGACTCTCCAGGGACAAAAGGCTTGTCAGAAATGTTGTGTTCAGTTGCCTGCCTTTTAATCCCCACCTTCCCGAATTCCACACCTACATGAATGTGATTAGAGACAGTACCAGACCCAGCATCAAGCATGAGTTTTCCTCCATCACTCTCTCGGGAGCCTTAACTATCTTCTCAGTTGACTCAGGTAGACTCCTACTATGGACAGGGGAGACCATGGTAGACTTGCTAGTTAGTGTAGTAATGGTAGTAGGAACCATGGTGGGCTTGCGAGTTAGTGTAGTCATGGTAGTGGAGACCGGGGTAGGTTTGCTAGTTAATGTAGTAATGGCAATAGTGCTGTGTGTTACAGGATGAACCTGCTGTCTCTCTCATCTTGACTTCTTTGGGAGGATCTAGAAGTTCCTGTGTAACAAGCAACCCCTTATCTTCCAGGCCGCTGTGCTCGCTGTGGGGAAAACGTGATTGGGGAAGGGACAGGATGCACCGCCATGGATCAGGTCTTCCATGTGGATTGCTTCACCTGCATCGTCTGTAACAACAAACTCCGAGGACAGCCATTCTATGCCGTGGAGAAGAAGGCATACTGTGAGCCCTGCTACATTGTAAGTCCCCACATTGGGTCTGTCTCTGACCAAATACCAGTCACTCCATATAAATGTCAAATCTTTGAACTTCAAAAGATGTGTACATATGTAAATTGTTATACTTTTTTTTTCTATACAGTTAGCATTGGATGAGGTCAGAAAATTGTGTTGGGAGAGGGCTGCCTTTCAATTAGAGGTCTGCCAGAAATGTTGTCTGGCCTGTGGTTTTCAGTGTATATGTAGAAACAATATGCTCTCTGTGATGTATACAGAGGAAGGGTTCCTCATTAGCAGAGTCCTAACCCTCTTATTCAGTCGCATCCTGCATTTGAAGTCCCAGTACTTTGGGGAAGACTTAGCAGATAGCTGAATTTGTCAGTGGTCTTCCAGACTTCTGGACTGATTATCTCTGCAGTCCTTTTTACCTTCCCAATCCCCCAGGTTGTCTGTGATGTAGAGAAACACGTTGTTATAGAGTACCTTGAGGTAGCAATGGTTTTCTGTTTTAAAAGAACAAAGCTATTTTTGAAGAGCATAACTTAGTGACTGAAAATAAGTCACATTCTCTCATCATTTTCCATGGCTACTTAATCTGTTTAGCTACCTTCTGATAGAGTAGTTTGATGAATAAGAGAATTATTTCCTGTCCAAAGTAAATTCCTTTGCTTTCATGGTCTTGATCTATCTTCAGAACATATTCGTGAAAAAAAGTAGTACCTTTTCAAACCCACGAAACAGTCATGGTTGTCTCCTTTGCCAAGGCATTCCAACAGCAAAGAAACCTTGGGGATAAGGTATTGGGACTCAGAAACTTGCAGCTCTCCGGAGTCAAAGTTGTTGGTATTTCTGCCTCTGTTGGTGTAGGGTTATTATTGCTGTGGTGAAACTAAAAACAACTTGGGGAGGAAAGAGTTTATTTCAGCTTTTATTTCCAGGTAACAGTCCACCACTGAGGGGAGTCAGGGCAGGAACATGGAAGCAGGAGCTGCAGCAGAGGTCATGCTGCTTACTGGCTTGCTCCACATGGCTCACTCAGCCACCAGCCCAGGATGGCCCCACCCACAATGGGCTGGGCCCTCCCCCATCAACCTCTAAATAAGAAATGCCCTACAGGCTTGCCTACAGCCCAGTCTTATGGAGGCATTTTCTTAATTGAGGTCACCTCCTCTTCAGTGACTCTAGCTTGTATCAAGTTGACATAAAACTAGTCAGCACAGCTGGTAACATATCCTGGAAAATTGAGCTTATTGAAACACAAGGGTATATAGCCCAGAGCTCAGTTTTCCACAACTGAGGTTTTATATATTCATATAATACTGCTTTGTATCTCTTAGGTTCAGATTTTGTTTTCCTTCCAGGAGCAACTTAAACACATGTAGCATCATTGTGATGTCATCAGCTAATAGACCTGGGAGAGAAAGAGAAAAAAGAAAAGAAAAGAAACAATGTTAAGGCCACTTGCCTAGCTGCTGTCTTTAGAAGTAAGACTAGAGATACAGGAGAAAGTTGACTCCACTTACCATTTGACACAGAGCCAAGCCAGCGTTAGTCACATATCCTCCTGGTCCTGTGATTTGCCCAGTACTGATTGTATTTAGCTATTCAGACTGTAGATACCCTGTTCTGGAAGCAGCAGCATCCACGTAAGATAACATGTAGTCTGCAAAATGCATCTTAGGTTGTTCAGCTCAAGCACCACCCTTGGAAATCTTTGTTGAAAAGAGGAAGGCCTCTTATAATTCTGACCTGGTTTAAGTGGGCTGCATTTTCTAATGACTCAGGAGACCGGACCATTGTGAAATCGTTTTTGTTTTTGTTTTTGTTTTTTTTAGTGCTGCAAGTTTTGGCAGCCACATCAGCAAGCCCTGTAGAGTAATCTAGCACTCTTCTTACATGGAGCAGTTACTTTTTTATAGCTCCCATTTAGTCCCTTTTTGACTGTGTCTCTGACTGTTGCTATTGCAACAATGCTTTTGTGGAAGGCTTCTTCAGCTGTTTATTTTTATGCTTTCTAAGTCTTACGTACAATCCTGAGACTCAGTATACAGTATGCAATCAGATAACAGTATGCAGAGAACATGAGCTTGAAGTGGATTCAGTCAAAGCTTGGGCAAGTTAACTTGATCTTTCTAAGCCTTGATTTTCTCATCTATATAATGGAAATGATGGCACTATTTTCCCATAAGACTCCTGAAGATGGAATGAGGCAATCTTTGTAAGCACCATTGGTCTACTCAGGAAAAACTATTGAACAAAGATTTGTGCTTAACTATGATTAGATTTCGGGACTCAGACTCACTTGGCTCTAGGAAGCTGTTTTGCTTCTTGGATATACCCATCTTCCTTTTCTTTCCTGCTTGATGTTTGCTTTCCTAGGTGAGTAGCAAGGCTTCAATTGCATGTTTTTAATTGTTTTCTGTAGTGTGTCAACTCAGAATGCAGACTCTGTTGCAAGGATAAGCTATCTGAGATGATTTAGGATGCTGGAATTCTGCTCAGATTTTTAGTGTGGTATTGTAGCACTCTTCATGTGTATTTCACTTGTTTTCCATTTATTAACCCAATATGAATATATGTACAGTGCCTCTGTGGTGATTTTCACTTTTAGCCTCTAACTTGTTTAGGTTTACATTATGTTAATGAATTATATTTTAAAGCCAAATATATTTCCCAGTCTTTTGTCATAGCAATATGCTTAAAGAACATTGAGTGAAATATTTATATCCTTCAAGTTACTTAGGATATTTTTTAAAAAATTAGATTATCAGCTCAAATGTGATGTAATACTGAGGTCATTGGTTTTACCTTCCTACAGTCCTTGGTTTTGACCTAGAACTTATGACCTAGGTCATAGAGCTGTAGTGCCTAAGTTTTGTAGGTACTGGGATATACCACCACACCTATCACCTTAAAGTATTTCTTTAGAAAACTGTTTCAGGTTGAGAATAGCATTACAAACAGTATGTTCATATATTAAACCATGTGCTATTTCCTGTTAGAGAGATTTATTTAGATTCATTAGAGTCAACATAATAAGTACACTATGTCCTAGTTATTTTAATTGATGCTTGTATTGTCAGTAGTAAAGCCAATAGATCTTATAAAAGATTAGTTTTGATAATTCTTTAGTTTTGAATAAATAAACATTAAAATTAAGAACACTAAACTGTATTAGGAAATAAAATGATTTAAATAGAATCTATCTGTCTTGGTCCTAGCTCTCTGATTAGATCTCGGGTACATCATTTCCTTTCCTATTACCAGAGTGCTCTTTTTTGTGAAGTTAGATATTAATTCCTTAATGTCCTAGATAAGGAATGAGCAAGTGTGTTACTTTTTAGTATCATGAAACTATTAGCTGTAAAAGGGATAGATCTGATGAGTGACCATATCATTGTAATATGACAGAGAATCTGTAGCACACAACGGGGCATGTCTTAGCTGCTGTTGCTATAGAAATGTTGAAAGTAATTGGCGTCATAGGAGGAATGTAAGGACACATGAAGAGATCGGTGCTTTGCTTACAGCCATTTGTGTCTTTGGGTATGAAGGGCATCAAAAAGGCCTCCTGCTTACTCCTGAGCATAAGTGTAACAAAGGAACAGTTGTTTTCTTCTTGCCATTGCACAGGAGTCTGGGCCTAGGGACAAACACAGTAGAAATTCTCGGCCACAGTCTGTTTATGAAACGGTGATCCAGGATCCTCCACTGGCAGAGTGGCTGCAAAGGTGGGACCATGTTTTTGTTAGAGTTGAAATCCTCGTGGCTAGCAAGACCTCTGGAAGTAGCAAGCCAGTCTCTCAGAGCCTGACACATTAATGATCTCTACATTAACAGACTCTTGCTCACTTGTACAACTAAATGGCTAAGTTAAAGCCATGTAAATTTTCAACTCCATTCAGAGGTAGCTTTTATACCTCTGCAGGAAAGCTGGCTTTTATGTACTCAAGTTCCTTCTCACACAATGTTTTAAAAGCAGTTAGAACCAAGGCCGTATGTGGGCGTTGGAAAAGGAACCAAAGAGTTGGGATGGAATCTGAAAAATGCACATGAACATCCCTCTTCCCCAATCGCCCACCTCTGCTCTCATCACCATGATGTGTCTCCTTCTGCCTCCCTTCATCTCTGACTGCATGTACCACCCACACACTAAAACACATTCATTCCTGGTGTCTTATTGTCACCCTACTAGCACTCTCCAATAACAAGAAAAATGGTTCAAGAATGAGAAATATTTTTAAAACACTCTCCTGTGAAGTTTGACCACACACACCCTAGGTGTTATATCCCCCATTCCTGAGCTTCTAATATGGCGTGCCATGCCTGTTGGAACTTTGATAGGCAAGGGAATATTATTAGACCCTATCACAAACGAGGCTTTGATGTGACCATAGTAAAAGACAAAGAGAAAAAGCTATGATCCCCAGTCTTTCCTTGAGTTTTCACAAATCTCTTTCCTCATAATGCCTGGAATCTCAATATAAAAAATGCTTTTATGCTTAGAGTTAAATTTAGTCAGTGGCAAGTAGCATCTTCCCAACAGGATACTTTTGCTTTTTAGTATTCTTATTTTGTCTGTTATCTTCAACAGAGCCTTGGAGATATCTCTAGTTGCTTTTACTGTCACTTCCAGTAGCGAGAAACTGGGCTCAAAAGCTCATATAAACTCACAGAAACTGAAGCAGCATGCACAGGGTCCACATGGGTCCGCACCAGGTCCTTTGCAATGATAGTATGACTTCTAGTCTAATGTTTTTATTGGATTCCTGAATGTGCAAACTAGTGGGTCCCTGATTTCTGTGCCTTCTTTGGGGCTGTTCTTCTGTTGCTATGTCTTGTGCTACCTCAATGTGATAGTTTTATCTTATATTATTTTGTCATTTTTAAAAAGTTGAATGCATGCATGCATGCATGAATGATTGAATGAATACCTAACCACTAGGGTCAAGGTTATCAACTGAACTGTCATTTATACTTACTGGGAGAGGGAAAGATTGTTTTTCAGTAGAGTGACAAGGAATATATTAACCACTCTGGGACATGTTCCAGAATAGTTTACCAACATGTAATGGATTCCAAATTGTGTGTGTGTGTGTGTGTGTGTGTGTGTGTGTGTGTGTGTGTGTGTGTGTGTGTGTGTTTATTTGGTTGCAGCTTGTTTTGTTTTTCTTTGGGGGAGGTATTTTATTTGGTTTCCTGTTTCGGATGGGATTGTTAATGTATTGGACTTTTGTTTGTTTTGGGGGAAAAGAACTTAGAGTTTTAAAGCTGGTAAGATAAAGAAGAGGAGAGGATCTAGAAAGACTTGAGGAAGGTGAAGAGTACGATCAAAATATGTTTAACTTTAAAAATTGTTTTCAAAAACTAAAAATGTATTTAGAAAAGGAAAGGCAAGGAATTTTTCTCAAAAAAAAAAGGAAGAAATAGGAAGAAAAAAGAAAAAAAAGGAACAAAACTGAGGGTCAAAAAGACCCTCTCTCTCAGTTCCAGGGCATGTAATGTTAGAGGTAGAACTTGGCCTTCGGTTCCTATGTTCCAGTCTTTCTATCTGACATATGTCACTGACAAGTTGTTAGTGCTGAGATCTCTCCCCCTGACTGCTTTCATGGTGGTGTTACTCTTGTTTTGTTTTGTTTTTGTTTAGATTTAATTCAAGCTGGATTTGAGAGACATATATACTTCATCTCATTTTTTAGGAATTGTAAAGAAATGTGGATATCAGAATTGTCTTTTTTAATGTTAGCCCTTGTTTTAGAAAAATACCCTTTTAATATGCTCATTAGAAAAAGAAAAATATCAGATCCTTCCATGTAATGTCTGCACTCTACTGAATGTCCATCCATCTTGTGCCTCGATGCCTGTGTGAATGGACTTAACTATGGAGCTATAACAGCCCTGGTGTGGCTATACCCACACCAAATGCTTCCAGCTCACATCTGACTAGCCACTTGCTTTGTTATATAACAGTATATCATAGTTTGCCTTTTACAGAAATAATCTCTTAAATATTCCATGGGCAGTCAAGAAGAATATATACCCTTTCTGAAAGTGACTCTAGGAAATATTCCATTAGATAAACACATTAATGAAAACATAGCATGAAGGAGGTCAAGATCAAATGAAAGTGTAGTTAAGTATCGAGCCAGGAAAATAACTTACTGGTTGATGAGTTCAAGGCCAGCCTGGCCTACTTAATGAGTTCCAGGACAGCCAGAGCTGCAGAGAAACCCTGACTCAAAAAAAAAAAAAAGTAATGGGTATAGAAGTGTGCTCAATGGTAGTTCACTTCTTTAGCATGTGCAAGGCCCTAACTTAGGGGAGAAAGAATAAAAAAATAGAGAAATGGACAAAGATACATTAATAAGTTAGTATTAAATTATAGTATTTTCAAAAGAATATTTTTCAGAGTCAAATGTCAGTACCCCATAATGCAAACAGCAAAGTACAATTCAGGAGAAAGCTATCAGATTAACCAAAGGACATGTTGTTAGTGGTAAGCATCTCATATCCTAGTGAGGAACAGCCCCTGGTCCTCCTGTTAATATTCCTACGCTGAAATATAGAACACACAATGCTCGTGAAAGTTGAAGTGAAATGCTGATGTCTATTTTTTAGAAAACATGTCTTTCAGTGTTTGATCAAATTACATGAGTTAGCTAATATCATTAATAAGACTAAATCAAAATTCATTAATTTATATAATAAATCATATTTAGAGAATATTTAGAAAATATTTATTATATTAAAATCTAAAAGGAAGCCACAAGCTACACAGTTTAGTCCTATATCTTGGGAGGTGTAGCAGGCATGTTGCAAGTTCATGGCCAGTATTGATTACATAGGGAGACCCTGTCAAAAAGCAACAGGAAAATGTAAAAGGAAATGATAGATAAATCCAGCAGTTGGATAGCAAAGATAACAGACAGTAAAGCATCAAGTTATTTTTCTCTCATCAGCTGCCTAAAGAAAGGAGGCATTTATGGGAAATTGTTGATAATTGAGAAAATGCTAGAAATTTTAGAATTTTAAGTGGTTTGCTTTTGAAAAGGGAAAATAATTAGTCCAGGTATGGTAGCTTTAGACACACATACTATATAACAATGAGTTCTAGGTCAGCCGAGGCTAGAAGAGACTCTGTCTCAGGGGTGGGGGAGAGGAGGAAGAGGAAGGGAGAAAGAGCACAAAAAAAATGAGCGTGGTAGCAATCCAGACAGAGGGAAAAAACAAAGTTACAAAATGTGAGGATGAAAAAGAAGCTGTCAACCTCAGTATAGAAACCACCTTCCTGTTGTTGTTGGCGGTTTTTCTTTCCCCGCAAAGTCCCGCTGCAACTTCCAACCCCAAATGAACACACAAAGACTTCTATTAATTGTTAAACTGTTGGCTGATGGCTAGGGCTTCTTATTGGCTAGCTCTGCCTTAATTATTAACACATTTCTATAAATCTATACATTTCTATGTGGTTTTGGCTTACCGGAGACTGCCTGAACCTGTTACTTCTTTGGCAGCTACATGTCATCTGTTTTTGGTGGGCTCCCTCTGCCTACCTTTCCCAGGATTCTCCTTGTCCCCTAGCCCCACCTGTCTCCTGCCTCATTGGCCAAATAGTGTTTTATTCATCAACCAATAAGAGAAACATATATATACAGAAAAACATCCCCCATCATCCTGTCTCTCCACTGAACCCGGGATGTTTCACTGTAACTCTAAGCAAAATTCTTAAACTCTAGTCAACTTTTTCAATTATATCATTTGGCTGGAGATCTATTTCAGATGGTAAGCCCTTGTCTAACATGCACAAAACCCTGAGTTCAATACTAGTACTCTATAAAACAAGTGTGCTAACACACACCTGTAATCCCATCTGGAGAAGTGACGTCAGGGAGATTTGGAGTTCAAGGCCAGCCTAGGATGGAAGAGACCCTGTCCCTCAAAAACTTATATGTTTCATAGAAGATAAACTTTCTCTGAAAATCTAAATATGTCAGAAGAAACTCAAATAACCCCATCAATGTGGATGAAAGTCAAAGCTGCTACCTGAGGAAAAGCAAGAAAATGTCACTAACAGGATTTTTCATATCTTCAAAGAACAAATAACGCCTACAGTGTTTCCACCCTGAGAGCCTTCCAAGAAAAAAGCTTCTGTAATCACTTTATGAAGTCGTATAAGACTGGCATAATGCTGATGGCAGAACCTAACTTAACCTTCCCCAAGGAGAAATCACTATGCTAATGTAAGTGAACACATACAGAAATCCTAAAAGAAGTTTTGAGTTGAATACTACATTGTTGGGATGGTAAATTAAATGCCACATAATAAAATTTCTAAGTTATTTGATGAATGCAATGTTTGGACAATATTAAGGACCTTTAAAATACTTTGTCAAACTCATATAGCAAATAGGGAAGAAAAGTAAATATGATTGTAGTTATATCAATAGATACTTTTCACTGAAATGATACTTCATAAAATTTTGTTACAAGTTCTTTTCGTTTAAGATTTACTTATTAGTGTGTGTGTGTGTGTGTGTGTGTGTGTGTGTGTGTGTGTGTTGTGTGTGCCATGGGTATACAGTGCTGGTGATTCTAGAAGAGAGCATCATATGCTGGTGGTTGTGAGCCCCCTGTTGTGTGTGCCAGGGACTCTGCAAACACTTTCAACAGCTGAGCCATCACTCTAGCATGTCACATTTTCTTTTTCAAACAAAAGCAACCATCCCAACTTAAAGCAAGCTCTAAGTAGAATAAGGAGATTTGATTAGTTGATAAGGCTTACCATGGCCAGCCTTCCTGCCCCTGGATCTAGGAATGTGCAGGACCCTCTCTTATATTCACATCCTTTTTAACATGCCAGCTTTTGATGTGGAGATTGGAAAACAAAGCAAAAGCTAAATGCATACTTGTATGTGTATATAGTTCTTTTTTCGTGTTATTTTTAGTATTTCTGACACTTATATAATGAATAGTATAAAAATCCATGTACCTGTTACCGGATTTAAGAAAACAATTGTTTGAAATACATTGGATTCTTCGATCTGACCACATTCTCTCAAACTAGCTGCTGTTTTAAACTTCCTTTTGTCATTATCCATGAGTTTCTAATACACATCTCTAACAATATGTAGTGTTGTTTACATGCTGTGTTTCATAATTTTCAAATATAGAACACAAATATTTACAGACAGTGTTAGGCTATAAAACATGATTAAATCTAAAGTAGTAGAGCAAGGCTCAGAAAGCTGACAAGATAAAAGTTTCCAGCATGAGAAATAACCCTTACACAGAAGCCATAAGAAAAACTGAGCAGCTAGATGAAATTATGTAAGGAAGGAGTGCCATAAGTGTGTGGGAATGAATTGAAGGTGCTTCAGAGCATGCTGTCATTTGTAGGTTTCCCTGAGAGTCACCCATTCTTAGCCAGCAGCAGCATGCCCACTCTGTGACCGTTATACTGTCCTTTGCTAATGACACATGGCTCTGTCCCCCACCTCAGTGGATCTTGGTTTCTGCTCACATCACGAATTCCCACAGCCTCTAAGGCAGCTGAGGTACAGACCTCTTAGTTGATTGCCCAGAGCAGCAGGAAGTCCTAGTGGAATATTACATTTTCCTGCTAAGTCCTATCCCAAAACATCTAACTTTGTTTTAAGGGCCAGAAGGAACCTTAATTCAGTAATGTCATTTTATGGCCAAAGAAAGCTAAAAGGTAGAGAAAGTTTGCTGATTTGCCTGAGTTCACAGGGTTTGTTAATGGCGGAAGCAAGAATGGAAACCCCAAGCTTTGGTGGTGCCTTCAGAGAACGTTTCTCTTTGGGAGGGACGGAATGTGTGTGACTGTGGGTGCAGAGAGATCCCTGGGAAAAGTAGGGCTCGGCTGACACAGTGATCCAGGACAGCATTTGCTTTAGTTCTGACCAGAATGAAGGCTCTCGTATTTCCAGGTTCAGTGCCTCTGAAACGTTATGCTAGAACCTTCCTGCTGCCCTAGTTTGTTTACTTTTAAATGAAGCATGAACTCACCACCCAGTGTTTGGCAGAGTTTGGATGAATGTCAGCATCAAGCCACTGCAATAATGGTTTAAGATTATTTAATCCCATTACTTATACACTTCATTAGGCTGAGTGAATTGTTGGCTGTGGTTCAATAAACTTCCTACTTTAAAGATAAAGGATGTAAGGAGAATAGAAAAGGAGCCCATTTATTCCTTGTTTTCTTTCGCATTTATCTTATGGCTCTTAATGGATAAAAGAACAACAATTAGCCATCTACCAGCATACCGTCTGTGCTCCTGAAGTCCTCTGAACTGGTCAGCACCACCAGAAAAAAAAACAAAAGTGTCCATAGGTTAGATTTCCTACAAGAAGAAAAAGAAAAAGGCGGGCTTAGAGGTGGAAAGGACCATGCAATTAAACCTGAAAATAAGTTCCAGAGTCCTCGGTCATATGGTCTTTTACTTGGGGAAATCACAACCATCCCGACCAGTTACCATCCAGTATCTCCTTGGTTTCTTTCGCTTTGGTTTCTGAACATCTGAAAGGAAATTTTGTCTTACCTCACATGGTCATGTGGTCAAGTGAGCATTCAGAGAGGAGGGGATAAGCTAGAATCAGTAAAGGTTTGTCGAGTAGTGGTGGGTAATCCACCAGGCCAGAGCCCAAGGCACACACCAGGCCTTCTGAAGGGGTTTTGCCTTGCTGGAATCTGCAGCTCACAGTCTCTGGAACACTGTTGGACTCTGCTGGTCTCAAAGTTCAGGGAGTCGGAGTGTGGCAGGCCCCGAGATTTCAAAAGCTTGATTTCCTCAGCAATTGTCGCCTGCTTTCAGTCACTGGCAATCTTCATTAAACACATAATTCTAGACCCTGGAAGTTCCTACACAGGACAGGAACTTAGCACCTTTTATAAGGCCTCTGAGGGGTGGGGCTGGCCTGCAGCTTGTCTGCAAATGGAGGTCTGAGGTGCACTCTACTCCTCCGCCTGAGTAAGAAGGGACCCCCAAAATCTTCCTTCTCCTCTCCTCCTTGATAACACCTGCTCCGGATGGCCTCTCTGGAACATTGCAGTCTGAAGTCCCTCTGCCCCGGTGCCCAGGCTTCTGCTCCCTTGTGCTCTTTGCATCTTTGTCCTTCAAATATCTGAATTAGCCAGCTGTGAAAAACAGGCTTGGACAAGACTTCAGGTTTTTGTTGTTTTTCCTGGGCTTTTGTTTTAGTTTCGTTTTGTTTGAGAGGTGGTGGGAAGAGAGGGAGGGAGGGAGGGAGGGAAAGAAAGAATGTGAACATGAAATTGGGTGGGTAGGGAAGTAAGAAAGATCTGGGAGGAATTGGGAGGAGGGAACAGAATAGATCACAATCTATGACATGAAAAAAACTACATCAAAATTTTAAAAACTTCTTTGGAAGTTCTCCAACTAGGTGTGGCTTTTCTTATAGATAAGATATCTTTTCCCCACCAATTGCATAAGGCTGAACCTTGCTACAACTGGTAATAAAAATTCTCATTTCTTGACATAGTCTTTGGTGATGTGAACCCTTGAAGAGTCTATAAAAGTAGTGAGGTCCCCTGTGACTGTTTCTTTTTAGTTGTTTCGTTTGGTTGTTTGTTTGGTTGGTTGGTTGGTTGGTCGGTTGGTTTGGTGGTTGGTTGGGTGGTTGCTTTCTGTTTGTTTTCAGTGTTTATCACAGTCCGTGAGCCTATGGTTGTTCTGAGAGGGAGGGAAACTGGAAGATGACCTGCTTCATGCCAAGGTTTCCCCACAGGTTTGCCTTATCTGTTGTTTGCTTGCCCTTTGCAGCACTGGGACTTGAGACTCTCAGAGAAATTTAAGGGAGCAGGAAACTTGGCAACTGCAGCTTATAAGCAGAGTCACCTCTGAAACGTAAATATAAAAGATTCAGAGGAAAGACGTGAGAGCGAAGCCAGCTGTCTAGTCTACAGCTCTCAAGGTCAAGCACACAGATGTATCCCACACAGGAGAGTTGTCAGGGAGTTTGATCAGAAATTCTCCTCTGTTCTGAATGTGACAAGCTAACATCTCCCACAGCCAGGTTCAACTAAATAAGCAAACTATAAAAGAGTCCATTGTTAATTAACTTCTAGGACCTCTTTAGCATAAGCCTAATGGCTGATGCGGTTGTTACTGCAAAGCAGGTTCCCCTTTCACCATCTTACAAGGATGTCATATGTGGGAAATAAGATGGCTAACAGGGGAAATCTTCTTGGGATATCTCAAATGGATGAATGGCTCTCCCTGACCCAACTGACTTCGTGAAAGTCTTAAGTGCATACATATGTTTAGTGACATTTTCAGTTATGTTTTTAAGTAAATACCTTCTATACAGGCGACTCTACCCTTAACCTTCAGGGATGGCTGAAGTGATTCAGATGGATACAGTGTACAGATATATCAGTTGAAATGAAACTGAACCCTCTAGGAGATACCTATCTTAGACAATAAATGTTGAAAAGTAAATCTTTATACTTCTTCTAATTTATTCAAATGACCTAAAAATATAAAACATAATATAAAACATAACATATCCAAATAGTTTTCCACCAAGTAGAATGTACTGAGTGTATTTTGGCTCAAAGGGAGGAACAACAGAAGAATGGACGTCTTGTGGGTGAATTCAGCCAGCAGCTCTTCCTGGAGGAAGCTGCCTGTAGAGTCAGGTGTCCTCTCTTATCTTCTCCTTTTTTACCCTCTGGAGAAAAATGGGAACTGTTCTTACTCTTTTTTTACAGGCAACAGAATCAAAGCATAACGTAATTAATACCCCTTTGGAATTAGGGCAGAGGTGCCAGAGTCTAAATCTTACTCTGTCCCTTGCTTTAAGTAATCTCCTGTAAACAGACCACCAGACATTAGATAGGACCTTTCTTTGTCAGCAAGAATCTGTGTCAGCTTTCCGATTCTACTTCCATTACCTACCTGTGTTTCAAGAATCTTCCTGATGGGCTTCTGGCTGATGTACGCGCTCCCTCTGTGTCTCCGGAGTGGCTGTCCATGCCTCACCTCTTTTAATCAGTGCTGTACCGTCATAGAGCTACATAGAACAAGCTTGCTTCTCAATTTCCTTTGTGTCTTTCTTCTCTGCGAAATCCCAAACTACTACTGGTATCCAGGATAGTACCCAAAACAGTACCTCCCACCCTATAGAGTACTTAGTACGTTGATTTTTTTAACAGTTATAGCAAAACAAACAAAAGCACATCAACATAACTAACTAAATGTCATAACTCAGGGGCTTTGACAGCAGAATGCATTGTTTCCCATAGCTCTGGAAGCCTACACTAGGAAACTGTATGAGGAAGTTGGTGAGCACTCCCTCCTGGTTTGTGTAAAATCTTCTCACCTGCCCTCATATGTGGGGTGAGTGCTATTGAGCATGCTCTCCAGAGCACTGCATGATTTTGAAGGCTATGGAGCCTTTAGAGAAGGCAGGCCCTGACGTTTACCTCCAGTGAATCTTTAAATGCTAAACCCACCCATGGTTGTGTACTAGTTCTGTCTGCTTCCTGGGGTGCTGCCAAAGCACCTTCAGACTACCAGACAGAAACAACCCTCGCCAGGCATTCCCTGCTGCTATAATGGACTGAAACCATAAGCCCAAACAGACCTCCCCTTCAGTTGCCCCTGTCAGGTGTGCTGGTCATAGGCCTGTAGGGAGAGATCTCAAGTACATGCAGCACCGACCACGCCCAAACAGGCGTGGCCACTGGTATGTGGGGGAAGGCAGAGATAAAGGGCAAGGAAGGAGGGGTCACTTTCTCTCTTGGGGTTCCGGTTGAGGTTGGAGACCAGCAGAATGCTGACCTCAGTTCTCGGCTTTTCACACAAGTGATTTCTCCCTAATAAAATAACATACGACATCCCTATCCCGTGTAATCTTCCTCATCCTAGGCCCATGGGAAATAACTGATCCACATGAACAGAGAATGCATAGCATTAACTGAACCCTTTGACTTTAGGTTGACGGATGCTTTATCAGTACTGTGGTGGGGTAGAAAGAAGAGCCCTACCTTCCTAGTAATAAAAGCAGAGTGATCACCTCACAGGTGCTTACTGAGAATCCTCTTGCCTAGACTTTAAACACCCCATGGGAATACTATTGATACTTAAGATATTGTGTTGCTGCTGCATTTTCCTTTCCGTAGATATTTTCACTTGCTAGATCTTATCATATTTTGAAGAAAACAAGGAAGACATTGTTAGAGAATTACTGCACAGTGCTATTAAATTGTTGAGAAATTGGCACTGTCAGGAGGAAGCCAAGCTGGCCTGAGTCTGGATGGACAGTGCCTGCTGGCTGTTTCAGCAAAGTTGGCTGGCATGATGTGTTCCCCCTTAAAGTGAGTCTTATGGAATTAACGCCTCATGCATACATCAACAAACTTTGCCAATTTGCCATTGTAATTAAGGGGTAGCAGATTAAGCATTGCTATAAAGTTCAATTATAACAGGATGAAGAAGGTTGCTTGTGACTCATACTACTAGAGTTTCCTCAAGGTTGTTACAGTCCTTATAGAGCAAGCCACAGGGTGGGATGGGGTGACTTTACTCTGAAGGGAAGGGTCATTTAAACTAGTGAATTTAACTGAAAGGAGAATTAAACTTCCATTGCAAGTTTTGAACTAAAGAGTGAACTGGACACCAGCCGTGACAGACACAGGATGAGCCCTGGACTCCTCTGAGAATGCAAAACCCAACAGACTTGGCTGTGCTCCAAAGGGGCACTTGAATTCTGAGAAGGGTCAGACAAGTGCAATGTATGGCAAAGCTATCTGATGTAGGCTTGAGAGACTCAGGCCCTGCCGAGTGATCAGAGAAAAGTACACACCCTACCCTGAGGCCGGGGGAAAGCTGACCAGCTTCAAAGGACTCCCCGAAGAACTGCTTATGACCATTTGACCTGGGCCTAGAAAGCCAGTTTATTATCCAATATTTTCAATAAATAATAACTGGTTTCCCAATTACTGTTGGATAGTACTACATATAGAGGAGAAAAAGTTTCTTTTTAGTCGCTAAATGATAATTGTGTCTATGAGATAAACTGACAGTTGATGGATGGACAGTAAAAAGCCAAGTTTAACTATGTAGGAATATCACCGGATGGAAAGTGACTACTCAGAGAAACTTCCCTACCCTTCTCTTTTGAGGGGGAAAAAGGAACTCTAAAAAGAATAGGAGTTAGCCTGTGATTGTCTGTGGGGCTCTGTCAATCTCCAGTATCTGTTCCTTTGATAGTATTTATATTCTGAGGAATAGGGGCTAGCCTGTGGTTGTCTGTGGAGCCCTCTTGACCTCTGGTCTCCGTTCCTTTGATAGTATTTATATTCTGTGGAATAGGGGCTAGCCTGTGGTTGTCTGTAGAGCCCTCTTGACCTCCGGTCTCTGTTCCTTTGATAGTGTTTATTTTATCTGGTTAATGAGATTCCCAGGGAAGCAACTCATGGCAGTTGTCTTCCTTTTGAGCTTACTAAAATAAATAAACCAGAAAAGGACTGACCTGTGCTTTGGAGAGAAGGAAAAGAGTTCACTGTGGTCTTGAAGCATCCAGTCTTTTTCAACTCGAAGTCCGCAGCATATCAAACCCGAGGCCCAATCCTGGCAGCTTCTTCTCAATCTGTGTCAATTATATACCCTTTTAAACCCATAACACCTGTACCAATTGTTTAGCATAATAACATCTTACACTTAAATGCTTGGGCACAAAGAACTTTCATAGTTGTTTTTCATTTGATCTGCACAGCAATCCCATAAGGCAGATGTTTTCTAGGACAGATGAGTGAGAAGTAAGGCTCCAAGAAAGGACCCCAGATAGCTAATCACTGGGAGTGTTCTTTGATGTTCATTGTCTGTCTGAGGCCACTTTTCTCGTCTTTGTAGCCTGGTTGTCTGCCTAAGTGGCCCAATCCCTTGAAGCCCATAATGCATACTTACTAAGCATCCTTTGTACTTTAGATTTTTGATGGAAATTGTAAAAGAAACAGCAGTCCTTGAGAAATGTGTGATTTTTAGGCAATCAAATGCATGGTAGAAATTTAAATTCCATGCCATGTGACTGTAAACTGTCTTCAGAGCTGGCCAGTGGGCAGGGGTATGGAAGATGGTGATGGAATGAGTGTTGCAGTTTATCTAAGCAGGACAGAGTCTGCCAAGTGTACCCTCTGTGGCCA